GTGATAGTTCATTGAAGAACATTCAGTGCTTCGAGTGCAAAGGCTTTGGGCATGTCCGTTCTGAATGTGCAAATCTGCTGAAGAAGAAGGCGCTGACTTGCATCAAGAGTGATTCTGATAGTGATTCAGATGATGAATTGGCCTTGAATAATTTTGTGGCGTTGACAACGTTTGTCTCCAGTACTGTACCAGAACCTGTAACAGGACCTGCAGCAGAACTGCAGCCAAGTCCAACGATGGAAGTGATAGTGATGTTGAGAGCATTAGTGATGAAGAATTTGCTAAGAACTATAAGATGTTATATGAGCATTGGCTTAAAGTGGTTGAAGAAAATTCGTTGTTGACTAAGGAAAAAGTCAAGTTAGAAGCTCAAGTTGTTGAAGCACAGAAGTATGCAGTTCAGAAAGAAGATGAAGCAACTCAAGCTAGAGCTCAGCTGGAAGAGACACAAAAGCAATTGAGGATGCTTAATAATGGTACAAATCAGTTGGATCATCTTTTGAATATTGGGAAAAGTTCTATGGAGCGACATGGTCTTGGATTTAATGAGGAATCTTCAAAAACTGAAACTGTGTCTAGGGGAAGAAGAGAGACTGCAGCTGCATCTGTTTCAGAGTCAAAGCCCAAAATTGCTACAGAGCCGAAGCTCAGAGTTAATACAGGGACTGCAACTGCTACGAAGATTGCAACTGCTTCAAGGAAAACTGCAGAATTTCAGAGTGCATCTAGAAGAGTTTTTCGACCTGTTTGTCATCATTGTGGAGTTGTTGGGCATATTAGGCCAAGATGTTTCAAGTTATTGAGGGAGAATNATCGAAGGGAGCAAGCTTATGATGGGAGATTTCGTGGTCCAACATGTTATCGTTGTGGAGTTGAAGGACATGTTCAACGTCATTGTTTTGGATTTAATCAAAGGTCCAGTCATGAAAGTCAAAGGTTCAAGAACGTTTGAGTTAGGAAAGATGATCTCTATCGAGATGGTGTGATGGGCTATCAACCTCGTCGATTTGATCCGGAAAAACTTCGAATTAGTTTTTGACAATGATGTGACTCAAGTAGGGGGAGATTGGAGTTGTTTTCGTTCTGGTGTTATTGGTGAAGATATCATTGAAGTTAGAAGTGTTGAGTTCACATACATAGTCAAAAAGGGGGAGAATGAAGAGGAGTTGGTTTGAGTTTTTCCTGTACCAGTCGATTGTACTACAAGGAAGTGATACAGAAGTTGAGCTGTGTGATTTGTGAAGAGAAGTTCGAATTTGGAGATGCACAAACGCGGTTTGGGCTAGAAAAAGGAAAGATATATTTACCTGGAGGAAAGAAGAATATATTTACTTGGANGAAAGNAGAATATATTTGAAGAGAAAAATAANGAAAGGATAACTACAAAGAAGGAAAGTTTCTNTAGGGTTTTGAGATGTGCTCTATAGGTATATATAGAGNGAGNCTCGTGGCTGGAGTTCTCTGANGNCTCTTTGAAGAAAAATTACNNAGAGATTGATTGAGAGAAGGCGTCCTCTTTGTTGTGTGTGNT